GTGTAAAGGGGAGCATTCACTAGCGCTTTCCCTGTGGAAAAGAGATGCAGGAGCTTGCTTTCACCCAACAAGACCCTCTGCATGCCCTGTCTGCCACCCAGATGATCGTGGATAGTCCAGGGTGTCCCAAAGGTCATTCATCTCTTATTTTAGACATCTCCACACCCAAAACAGACTGAGTGTCATGATCCCCCAACCCCTGCTGCAACTGCTAACAGTCAGGGTGTAGGAAGGAAGAGACCCTTCAGGACCCGCAACAGGCCACCACCAGGACTTGGTGGCCCTTTGGTCCAACCTGCTGTGGCCAGCCCTCAAGTTCTTCCTTTCCAGCTCTTTGCTGCAGCAGGAGATTCGGGCAGTACCATCACCCCCCACTTCTACCTATGGAGCAGTAGCTGCTTGGGTTGCTGCTGTGGTTCTACCACACTACGGGTGACCTGCCAGCCAGCCATGTATGCACCCTCTGCCATGGCAAAGTGACCTGCGAAGGTGGCTCCTCTATTTTCAGGATCAGATCATGCTTTCATTTCAGGAGAGCGCCACATCATTGCTGACAAGCAAGAGACATGGGCTGGCATCAGCCAATTTCCTAAACCAGACCTGGTGGGGGGAAATTGCCCAAGGCTGGAAGTGGTCATGGGCAAACCCCAGGCGCTCAGAACAAAGCATGCAGAGTCACACCAGCTTGGCTGACTCAGGCCCATAATAAGCAAGCAAAATCATAACATTTTCATAAAAGTAGGATTTAAGTACAAACATCTGCCCTGCTCTTTCTTCAGTCTCAGTCTATAGCTAGGTATTCGTTTCAGTGATCCACGGTTCCAGCTGCAGAAATGCCATGCGGATTCTAATTATGGCAGCTAGTTTATTTAACGGAGTTTGACATTGTTTGACATTCAGCTGAGTCACCTTGTTCCTGGGTAAAGCAACATGGGCTTTTCAGTGGTTCACCAAGAGAGAGGCAGAGATTCGGTATCAAAAGTAGAACATATATCACAAAAATTTTAAATTAAATACATCTGAGGTCTATTCTATTCTGGCAGCTTCTCTCCTTGGGATACTAAGTCAACCCAAATGTTTTCCAGATATAACTCTTCCCCTCAAGGATACGCAGCAGTACCATCTCCCTCGTGTTCTTGGAGGGTGGGAAGGGTAGGAAGTGTTGTAATGGGCATATGGGATGTATCTCATCCTCCGCAAGCATCACCCACCCATGTATCAGGACATCCATCACTAAGAACTGCGCACAGGCTGAGCATCAGTTGTTTGCATTCAGCCAACATTTTTTCTAGGGCAAAGTTAAAGAAATGGGCCATTGGTGGTCAATACAGGAGGAACAATTACCTGCAGACAGAGATGTTCCTACAGCACCTCACCTAAAGCAATCTGCGCTCCTGTACAGTGCTTTTCAAGAACCTCAACATGTTTTCCAGCGAGAAAGACAGACCAGCACTATCCATTCTTATCATACAGAGGTTTCACAAAGTGACTTGTCTGCAAGTTTGTTGGTGGCAGAGATGGAAAGAAAGCCCACGCTTGGACTGCTCTCCCTCATGCCAGGTTGGAAATGGAGGCCAACACCACTTTCCCCTGGCCGCAGAGGGTCTGGATGCAGCACAGGGCACTGCAGAGAGCAAACCCCAATCGTGAAGCTGCCTTCCAGAAGGTCCATGGAGGCTGCCAAGCTGCCCTACTGTGGCTCCAATGCTTGTGTCACGTCTCTGCGCTGCTGTTTTCCAACTCCCTGCTTCCCTCCTAGCCCTGGAGCTGTGCTCACCACACATCTGGAGCAGCTGCTCTGCCTGCAAACAGTGTTGGGGACCACAGCATGCTTCTGGAGGAGACTAAGCCCTCCCATGCCAGCTTCTCTTTACAGACCTTTGGGGAAGAGCTGGGATTTCGTTTTTATAATCAAAAGACAGAAGGGACCTTTTCAGAGGCTGAAAATACTCCACTTATTCTGGCAGGCAGTGCAGTGAGCCAGACTTCAAACCAACAGCCAGAACCGTGCAGCCAGACAATAGCGAGTTGGCCCGAGCGTGCATTTTCAAGAGCACACTGAGGTCTGGCTCATCTCCCCCATGCCATCCCTGCAGTCACTGCTGGAAGGAGCTGTGTGGAAGTGTGTGCCATTACCCTGAGGAGAGGATATCCATCATGTCCAGGCCCTCTCTGAAAGCTGTCAGAGAGACAGTGGCTCAGGCCAAAGACATGTTTACTTATCTTTCTGGCCAGTACTGCAGAAATCCCTGTTTGCATTTAACCTTCTTTCAGTTTCTTTTATCTCTCAGTGGCAACTCTAATTATTCATTTCTTATGGTACAGTAACAATGCCTGCAGAGCCACAGCATTCAGAAACAAAACTGACGGTGTCTCTGGTCTCCAGTGGCCTTGAATTGGCAGCCCAAGCTCAGACTGGGGGGCTGCCAGCCTGTCACCCAACAGGCAAAGCCCCTCAGAAGCCATCAAATCCCTTTGTGCGGCAGGGCGGAAGCCAACCTGAACCTCGACAGCTGATGCAAGATCCCCGGGGAGCCCTAAACACCATGACAGTTATTTTAGGAGGAGGTGGAGGTCTGGTATCACGAGGCTGTATATATTTCAAAGAGTGGTCACACAAAGTACTAGAGAATGTGGTTGGGGAACTGCAGTCCCCAATTGTTCTCACCCATCTCGATTAGGGCTTTCCCCACAGCATTACCTGGTAGAAAAGGGATGATTCTTTGCTTAGGATCTTTCTGGCCTCCTTCAATAGGGAACTTGTCCAAAAGCTGCATCTGCAAAGGAAAAAGAATAAACATCTTAGGGGGAAAACATGGATTACCAGGGGATCTCTTGGTCTGTGTGTGGCTCAAAAGATGATTAGCAATGCAAAGGAACTGCAGGAAACACTCTGCCTCATTGCGGGTGAGTCTGTACATTAAAAGGTACGATACAGTTCACTCCAGAGAAAGGAAGGGCAAGTTGCTGGCGGCTGGGACAGGGCCCAGGCAGACGTCCGAGCCTGGCCTCGCTGCTGTTCTAAAATCAGGCTCTCATTCTTTGTTACAGAACACACACCTTGCCTCTAATCCACAGCCTGCCCGCATTGGTGGAGACACAGTTTTTACCTGTCCATCTGACAGGCCACCCACCTGGTTAAACATGCTGTCCAAGCAACCGGATTAATGCGTGTTTAATAAAATACCTGCTCTGCCTTATTGCTGGCAAGGAACTGCCCACTGCCCTGGTCCAGCCAGAGCACTCCTGCTTCCCCAGGGAGGGAGAGTGATGGGGCTTTTTGGAGTATCTTCCACTGCAGTCCCTACAAGGAGGCAGCAGCAGAGAAAGGAAGCAGGGAGGAAGAAGGAGAGCAGAGCATCCCAGAGAACACCATCACCAGGAATGGCCACAAAGCACAGCTCAAGGTGGGTGAGCTCTCAGTCCATGACAAGCAGCCTTTAGCGCATGGTTATGGACCATGTGAGACGATTTTGCCCACAACAGCTAAGATCTTATCCCACCAGCTCCTAAACCCTGTCCACCACATCCATCTGTTTCTAACACATCCCTAAGGGCTGACTGGGCTCAGGATCCTGCTGTACCACAGAACTGCTAACAGCCTTCCACCTGAGGAGTTCCAAGGGCTATTGATGGCTTATGGGCAGCTTGCACAGTGGAGCTGACTGCTGACCACCTGTGACTTTCTGTGGAACCAAGCCTAGCGAAGCAGTATGCTGACCTGGTGTTTCTAAATGAGCCCTATAATTTGTCTTTGGGTGATGAGCCCAAAGTGACCAGTGCCACTGAGACTGAACACCAGATGAAAAGACACACACACAGCCTCAGCCAGGAAGGAAAGAAGCTGCTTCAGACATCTTCATGGACCTGTCCAAGAGGTCCTTCATGGACCAGCCCTGAAAACTGGCAGAGCCTCTCACCCCTCCCATTCACCCTCTGCACCCTTTCACTGTTATTCAGGCCATGGTGCTACCAAGATAAATACTCAAATCTTCATGCTTTATTTCATTTTCTTCCACGTTTCAGATGTGCGATGCAATGCTCTATGTCCCTGCTGATCCTGCACCCCAGCCCTGGCTCCCTTGTGCTGGGGGACCTCCAAATCTCCTGCCAGCCCAGTGACTCGTTTCCAACAGTCCAGGAGAGATGTCTGTAGGAGAAATGTCTGTCAACTACAGTCCACAGACCCTGTGGTCTCTGAGGAGGGTAAGGAAGGAAGGCAAGCAGTCTTGTTACTTGACCTTGCAGGACCCCTATCTCCTCACCTGAACTGGATCTACAGCTTAATACAAATACCTAAAGGGGCAGAAAAAACTGCAGGTGTGGGGGCTCATCAGACAGCATTTAATCACATCAACACTATGTGTCCAGCAGTGAGGGTGTGTGAGTTAACAGAGGCTTTGCCAGCACAACAGATTTCCTTTAAAAAATATTTTTTTGCTAACATGGGGAAAAAAAGTCAGGTTTTTTTCCTACTGTTTTTGTTTTAAGCACACAGGATCCTTCTCTTCAACCACACCACACCATCTCCAGCATTTTCACCATATGTTACAGCAAACCAAAGATCAAGAGGAAGCTTGGGAGTAGACTGAACATCTGTGCAGCAGAACAAGCTAAAAGATCCCACGTTTCCCCACCAGGGAGTCAGCCTGGTAAATAAATAGAGCGTAGCTTTGCGGATTGTTACCTAGCTCACTTTTTTGCCAACAGAGACACGGTTTTTATTGAAAATGGGAAAATTTGTTTTCTTGGAGGTAGAGCTCCGGGTGCCTGAGGTCAGGCATGGGCAGGAGCTTTGTTCAAAGGGAACAGAAAAAAAGAGGGGGAAGGAATCCCCACCGATTGACTTGAAGTTTTGCTGTTGCTACACTTTTAGCCAGGAAGGCAATTCTCACTTTACTACACAGTGACTAATTCGAGCTTGGAACCGATACAGTCAAATTCCCATGGTTATTCTTGGAGTTAGATTAGCTTGGCTAATACAAGCCTTTTTAACCACATCAAGAGAGTCACAACGTGTATAACTTAGTGCTATTTATCTAAAGGGTGGATATCAGCAAAAGAGATACAATAAACTGCAGCTGGAATAGTTTGGCTAAACTTTCCTAGATTACACTTTCTGCCCCGGCTCTTGACTCTGCTGGGAGGGTCTAGATGGCAGGGAGCTGGGGGAAGGCAGAGGCACTCAGGAGGTCACCAATGTAACTGATGGAGACACAGCCTGTTCCAGTGCAAAGTCCCTGGGAAGCACAGAAGATTTCTCATCTTTGGCATATAAGACTCCAGAGGATGCTTGCTGCTGGCTTGCGGAATAGCCCCTGGACCAATAAGTTGGGGCCGGCATTTCTGCTACCCCAGCAAGAGACACAGACTGGTTTTGGGCAGCTGTGCTGGAGGTTCTGGAGGAAACTACTGGCTCAGTTTCAGGCATGATATGGGAAACCCAACAGACCTAAAAAGGATCTGAGCAAGGACATAACCGCAGCCTAGCAATTATACCCCTGTCTCTATGTCTGGCTGCTCTCATTAACACCTAAAAAAGCACTCCCAGCATGACAGTGTCCATAAAGACAAGTACTAATGGCACAGAGAACCTTTAACACAGACCGGAATGTGATGACTGCTCTGCAGCTCTGCAGCGCAGGAAACCCCTCATGATGTTAAAGCCAAACAAAGAGCAGCAGAAGCACAGAGCCTTCCTCAGCACTTCCCTGCACCCAGTTCTGCCATTTGAAGTCAGTGCAAGTTAGATCTAAAACCTAGAAAAGCAGGATTCTGAATCCTCCCACCCACAGAGAAGGATGCAAAGCAGAAGATGAGGAAGAGATAGATGCAGAGGAGGAGAAAAAACAGGAATAGGTCTGAGTGAAACATCCCAAATCTCCCAGAGCTGATGGGGTATCCTAAGCCTCACTCAGCCTAGCTTAGATAAGAGGAGACATTAACCATGGAGATAAAAGGAGCAGCCAGGAATGAAGAGAGCTCAGGGATGAACCACAGAAGCGCCTCCTGGTAGTCACAGCACTTTCCCCACATGGATGATTAACAGCCAAAGAGCAATAAACAGATTTTCAGTTTGCTTAATTAGATGTCTGCAAAGCATCTGAAAGTCAAAAACTCTTTAGTCTGTGACAAATACTTTTCCATTAAAAGAAATTATCATTGTTATTATTGCAACTATACATGTGATAGATGAGAAAAAAAAAAAAATCCTTCACTTAATGCCCAAAGTTATTGTGTTCAGACATGGGCAGCCTCCACAAGTTGTTGCTTGCATCTTTAATATGACATTGAAGTTAGAGACAAGATTTGCTAAATAAGAAAGTCATCCTGTCACCTAGAGTAAAACCAACCCAGCATGAAAGGGAAGAAGGGAAGTCTGGATGCACAGTCCTGGAGGATGGAGTTAGAGCTGTAGCTGGCTTTGGGCAGGCAAGAAATCACAAGTGGGCAATGTATTTTGGCAAACCTGGGGAAGTGCATACTCAGTTCATCTGCTTATGAGCACGTGAATCCCACCATGGGAAAGCCTCCAGTTGTATGACCAATGTGATGAGCAGAAAGAAATCCATTACCATGTTATTGTGTCACAGGGTGGGGAATCCGTTTGGAAACAGGGAGGGTATATGGAAACCGGGAAGTGAGCTTCCCGCCCATTTGGGCAGCATGTCTGGAGTCAGACTAGACAAACACATCTCACTCCTGCTTCTGGCACAACAGATGCACGTCCACAAACTATTTAGTGCAAAAATCACCTCCCCAGGCTTTGTCTTTCAAAACTGCTCTGGGTTTGCCAACAGCTTTTGTATGCAAGTCCTGCATGGAGTCCTGCCTTCTGCTCCATACAACTTCCTTCTTGCTTCTGTGCTGAACTCATTTAGATCTGCTATAAACCTTGTTGGTATAGACTGTGACTTGCTTACAATGGTCAGCAAATGATCATGGAATTAATCCCATTAAGAATCAAGGGAATTACTTGTGAGAGTTGCTGCTCATTAAAATGAGAGTAGGCTCAGAGCACTAGCCGACTCCACTCCTCACTAATTGCACATAACCATGAAATCACTTGACTTGTAAGAATGGAATAGGAATATTTCAGTGGTATCAACTCTCACCTTTTGATATTAATGTAGGGAGTTCTGGATGCTGCCTCACACATGTAAATGGGAAACAAGAGGTGTAGCCAGTGTCCTCCCAGCTAAGCTGTTAGATCGCAGAATCATTTAGGTTGGAAAGGACCTTTAATATCATCCAGTCTGACCGTGAACCTAACACTGCCGAGTCCACCACCAAACCATGCCCCTAAGTGCCACATCTACACAACTTTTAAATACCTCCAGGGATGGTGACTCCAACACCTCCCTGGGCATCTTCTATTCTCATCCCTTCTACTTCGGATCACCTTGACCTAAGAATGTGACTATGCCATGAAGAAAGAGATGCTTGCGCACACAAGGACCGTTTGGGCTCAGCAATCACAGATGATGGCATCTGCATTCACTTCATGAATATTCTGCTGCTAAAATAAGATTCAGCCCCTCTCTGCTTTGCAATGGTATCACCTGATTAAAAGTCTTAAAGAAAAATAAGCACCCCTTGAGATGCTACAAGTAGCACCTCTGAGGATGAGAAGCCAAGCGTCTTCCTGACAATTATTTACTTACTACGTTACTTATTTTAGTTAGGCTTTCATAAAACAACATCGTTTTCTGTTTTAGATATAAGGACTTACAGCACCTGAGACTAAGGAGTCACTTCTTTTTTGCAAGAGAAGCTT